ACTCCACAAAATTGAGGAAAGTATTTTTAAGTCGTACCTGTAACTTTAAAATTAACAATATCCTTTATTTTATGTAAGAAATGCATAAATACATTTGTGTCGGTCACTATACATATGGCATTTTCTTTTTTTGTTTTCTCTGGTGATTCCTCCGTGGCCGACTAAAATTTAATAAATACAATTGTTTATATTATACACTAAGTTTTGTTTAGTAACTTACATCCCATTCCATTGAATCCTCTGCTATCGTGTTACACGTTTGTTCACGTTTATTTACTATAGTATCATCAAAATTCACTAACAAAGAGTCATTTACAGTAACATCCAAATCTTTTTCGCATTTATTTCCATTGAGCCACTCAGTCACAGAGGTTTTTTCGTTGGGTAGACAAATCTCTTCGGCAGGTGTTGATTTAGAATCATCTTCACACGTAATATCACTAAATTCAGTCTTTTCTTTAATTTCATTACCCAGTTTTATGCTGTCATTATTATTACTTGTAGCAAACTCAATTAAGCTTATTTGTCTGTTAGATTCTTTAACACTAATAAGAATATTTTCTTTAGGTTCCCTATAATGAATTAGTACAATGTTTGTTAGTATTTTATTATTTTAGCAAATAATTGTATTATTTAATACCTTGAGGAATTTGTACTTTTGGTTTTTATACATTTAAGTCTATTATTAACTGAAGAGTGACTAGAAGACTCAGCTTTCTGATTTTGGTTAGCATTTGTACCTCGATTAACTAAGGACAATGTGTCTCCCTTAAGCTTGTGTCGAAGATCGCTAACAACATTCACCTCTGGCACTCTATAAGAAAAATTACATAAAAAACCAATCCTTTAATAGTATTCAGATAATACCTGGGACAATTTGAGCTGTTTAATCTTTTAAGTCTATTATTGACTGCAGATTGACTTACAGATTTGGTGTTAAGCCTGTCTTCAGGTGCACTAACTATATTTCTTTCATCAACCCTGTAATAAATTATTACTTACAACAAATGTCCCTAATATAATTATGAGAAAATACCTTTCAAAATTACTTTGTGAAGCAAACTTGTTATTTACACATTCAGTCCTATTTTTAACTGATGACTGACTCAAATATTTGGTTTCGCTATTTTTCCTGCAAAAAGTCCGATTGGAACTATATGAAACTTTGTTTTGTTCCAAATCTCCTTTAATTTTTTGTCGAAGTGTGGATAGTCTATTTTGAGCCCCATTATTATTAGTATTTAAAACGTTGGACGAGTTTGAAACCTCTACCTTCTGCGAGTTGGGATTAAGGCAGGACTTCTTATTACTAAGTTGTTCCTCGTCATCCTCCTCACGTTTTCTTTTTTTAAACTTATTAGACTGGTATTCTGTAGTCTGACTATTTAGTAAGTTAGGAGTGGATCTTCCACTGCTTCTTCTACAAGGTTTTACTTTAAGCCTGTGTTGTTGGGACATATTTAATTCAAATATTCTCTTCTGTGATTCAAATCACATATTATGTTTTTTTTTGGAAATCTGATACAATAAACTCTAAAAAATATGACAGATAGAAAGATATAAAATAGAAACTCATTAAATCTCACAGAAATAATCATATAATAATGGCAAATGGATAAAATGCCTTTAAAAATTGTCACAACAAAATATATCAAAAAATTATGACATTTTCTTTATGAATCAGTAATGGATGTTACGCAATATCGTGGTTTACGCAAGTGCACGTAAAAAATATAAAATAATTACCAAAAGGACTAAATAAACGAATTACTAATGTCTTTAACCGTTAACGGGTATTTTAAAGAAGTTTAAAATCTGTGTACGTAAGTTTTATTACGGTTCATTTCTTTTTTACAGGGCGTAAAAAACAAGTTTCTTTCCTACGTCAAGATGTATTTGCTCATCCCTGCTGAATTACTTATCCTGTCAACTTTTTGCGGCTTAAGCCGGCATGACAGATCCCTACTATTATTACTTTAGCGCTTGATCGCTAGATGGCGACACTTTAAAAAGTAAAACAGAAAACTACTAAAAATTTATTACCGACTCATAAAAGCGCCAAAATAAAAGAAATCAAACCTGTGTGTAAAAATTTGTTGCTAGATTTAAGTTGCTAGATTCTAGATCGTCAAATCAAAAATAAAAATAATAAACACAAAATGAAAATGCAATTTACAGATATTACACAATATCTAACCAACTAGAAGCACATTATGACAAAAAATCTATTTACAAAGGTTAAAATTAGTAAGGTAAGTTTCTTAACAAATAAATGAATCAAAATATTCAATATACAATAATAAAATTTATTATGTACATTAAATGTAAAATTTTGTTTATTCTTGCACTTTTTCTTTTGAATAATGCCTACAAAATCAAAAAAGCTTAGACAGAGCTATGCAAGATAGAATTTGTGAACAATCGAGACAATATTTCCCTAGAATAGTTATACAATAGTTTATATATCTTTAATATACACAATTTTGGTTTGAAATATCCTGAATAACTCTGCCATAGAACGTATATATAGCTGAAATATTTTATACCATAAAATTATAATGATCTTTTAATACAGATTTTAACTGTAATATACACGTTTAATTTATGTAAAATAAATTAATGCTATTTTGATACATTTTCTGATGTGGTAAAAATGGTCCTTTCTAAAAACACTGATATCTCTTTTTTTTCGTATATATAATAAATATGTAAAGATTCTAAAATATACAAGGTGTTTTGATTCTACCTCTACAACATTATTATCTAACACTGAACTTAAATCATTAACAAAACAATTTGGATAACACAATAAAGTAAATAAACATTAGCCGTTGTTAGTTAATAACTTGAGATTCTTTAATTATTAATGTTTTTCTTTATAAACACCCAGTATATAATGCAGATAAATAATTTCTCAGTTCTCTAGTAACAAAACTGATTTTATCACTTTCATAGAAAAGATATTAAACTGATACATAAAAAAAAACGTAATAGTCTTAACTAAATGTATTTTCTGTGATAGAATTTCTATAAACTAAAAATTATTTAACAGAATTTTTACCCTACAATTAAATGATGCCTATTTTACTAAATTATGTACAGAAAATATAGTTTAATGTAATGTCTTTGGTAAATATAATTTAAGATCACTAAACTTACTCTATTCACCATTTTTTTTTAAACATTTACAACAATCATAAGAGTTTGATTTTAGGTTATTAAAAAACAGAACAAAATATAGATAATGGTACAATTTGACAACTTAACATTGTTACGGTGTAATACTATCTATATATAAAAAAATTATGAAAAAAAAAGGATTGTATAAGTATTTTGACTAACAAATGTAACAAGTAACTCAAAAAATAAGATTTATTCTTGGTATTAAGGTATCTATTTGATACAAGATAGACGAAATGTTACATCTGATGGATAACTAAACTCGTTCTATATTTTTGATCGTCTCAGACCAATGCAGGTGCACCAATCTCAAAATTAGAGACTTTACGAACATTTATTTTTATCATTCACAGTTATCTCTAAACCAACTTGTCAAATTATGGTTAAGGACAGATTACACACTATAAATGTTCATTAGTTGTTTCTATATAATAAAAAATATTTCAGCATTTTCTACCTTTGTAAAAAGTATTGGACTAAATGATTATTAGTTTCAGACTACAGGATGTAGAAATATCATTTTATTTCGATTTTTTCCAAATAATTTCTGAAGTAAGGTCAATATTTGGATGAAAATTGGTATCTGGGAGTTTTTGACATGAGAAATTTGATTTTGATGTCAATAATGACTCCTACTTGTAGAGACGCCACCTACATATTTTCTAACTGATTAGAAGAGTAATAAACTTTTCGTACGTACCTGTATAAAACTACTGAGTAAAGGAATATACATTTACGACATTTTTGCGTAAAAATACGAAAGTATATAGTTTTCACTCAGTAGTTTCCTCCCAGTACGAACGAAAGAAAAGTTATTAGTCTTCAAAACAATCAAAACACACGTAAGAGGTGGCGCCCCTACAAATGGGGTCATATTGACATCAAAATCAAATCTCTAATCAAACTCCCAATTCCTTCATCCAAATCCGAAATATTCAGACGTCACCTCGAAATTGTTGGAAAAAATCGTAATAAAAATGAAACTTCTACACCCTGTATCTCCGAAACTAACGACCCTAGACATATGTATATTATTTTATACGCACTTTTTTACTTATTTTTATTTTCGAATATGCCGCCGAAGTTTCAGAATACAGTTTCCGGACCACCCTGTATACCAACGATGGAAAAAACGGCGTCAAGGTTGGCTTTGAAACGAAAATCTCTGTCATATAAATTTTGAAGAAAATACATGTAAAATACCGAAATAATAATAAGAATAGAGACTCTTAACAAAGTAATAAAAAATTGTTCATTAATGTGTCATTCTTTGATGTCATTTTATAATCTTCAAACATAGAAAATGCGTTAGGTCAAAAGTTAGTTAGAGACTTAAATGCATATTGTATAACCCTAAAACCAAGTGATATGTCACAAATCTGAACACTTATAGCCATGAAACTACCTTACCTAACCTATCTTTCTTAAACGCGCCCGCTTACAGCCAGGAAGGCCTCGAAATCGAGTCGTAGGGTTGTCTCATCGCCAGCGCCGAGGTGGTATCCCGAGGGATACGTGCCCGCGGGTCCCAAAAGACCCTGGTTCAACCCGCCCGCCTGCAAATAGTGCTGGTACAGCTGGGAACTGGTCATTGTCCATCAGAGACCCCTGCGCGCTCGACGGTATAAACGGTTTGGCCAGGGGATACGCGGGCGGCCTGCTCTCTGATGCGCCGGGTTCAAGAACGACGGGTAATTCTGCGCGGCGGCGTTGCCGCTCTGTGCCGCTCGCTTCCCAGCCGTCTGATTCTCCGGCGTGGAGCGGTGATGAGCCGCGGCGGCCGCCATGTAGAAGTTGGGGAGGCGGACCGGAACTCGTCCAGGAAATTCGACTCGCCCGTACAGGCCGGATCCGAGTCCCAGCGCTCCGGGGGTTCCCGGACCGAAGTTGAACGCGCTTCCGGCACCACGCTCGAGGTCTTCAGCGAAATCGCTCCCGGTTCGAGGTTGGAGGCCGAGGAGGTTCCGGTGGATGCCGGCGCCTTCAGACCTGCGTACGATTGAAATCCCTGCGCGGCTTGGGTCGACGAGGAGGCTTGGGACGTGGTGCTCAGTTGATTATCTTGGCTTGCTGCGGCTAAAAGTACAAAAATATATTTTAAAGTATAAAACCTTAACATTAAAAACCAGTTCTTTGCGTACAGAAAAAATTATGCGGGCACTATTAAAAAAAATCGTTTTATCTCTGTCGCATGCATTAAAATACAGACCACAGAGATAAAGTGTCCAGGACCGTATAGTATTAGATTAATTTAAGACAATCAAGCATAATTGAAGTTTATTCAAGGATAAATATTGTGCATATAGAGTGATTATTTTTTTAGTAGCCAATAATTAAAAGTCAACAGAAATATACCATTTTTTTTAAAGACCGTTAAGTCCTGCTTCTAAAAGCGATCCACCCCGTATATAAAACTCACCAGCCTTGTTGCTGCTCTTCTTCTTCCTGCTCTTCTTTTCGGGAACCGCGGCAGGCACGCTGCTCGCCTTTATTTCGCCTTGAGCCTGATGAGCTTGTAGTTCGTTCATTTGCCTGTTACACATTAAATAAAAACCATTCAGAATAAATTCAAAACAACAATATTTAAATGACAGTTATTACGACAGTACCTGCTGTATATAGAGGCCGCCGAAGTGGCCATAGGCTGGCTGTAACTGGTCATACCGGCCATATTTGCCTGGCTAAATATCTGCGATGCCGAAGACATGGTTTTATTGAACATGTGCTGCGTGCTTAGATCTAATAATATTGCAAACATTATCGAATCAATCACAATAGTTTTATTTTTACTGACTTTTATCGCTGTAGTATGCACCGGCTGACGACTGCAAGCCCGCCATCATTCTTTGTTCGTTACTGTATCTGTCAACGATGTTTGACAAGTTTGAAATGTTTCTTCCCAAGTTCAATCTTTGCTCGACGTCCAGCGAGGCGGAATTGTAGTTACTGCCACGTCCAGTCGATACATCTGGTTTATTAAATCTGGTAAACAAAGTGTGAGGTGAGAGATACCATAAATCAATATTTCCCTAACTAAATTATACAGGGTTATTCACCACATACGACACGGAATATTATAGCTAAACGATTAGATTTTTGCAAATTGTAAGTTTTGGGTTCGTTGAAGGACTATTAGAGCTACAATTTAATCCCAATGGAACACCCTGTATATCATTACATTTTTAGATTCTACGATTAAAATAAAGGTAAATTTGATAAAATTTATCACAACTTACCGTTTTTTGAAATATTTTCAATTTTGTGAAATTACAGTAAAAATTTTAAGACTTCATTTCTCCAAGGATATCAAAGTTTCTAATACTAAATAATAAATAAAATACTATCTTATTCAGAGTGTCTAGAAATTTATATTAAATAATTACTAGCTTTAAACGTCAACAACTTGTTTAATTTAAATGGAACACCCTGTATATTTTATGAGAATCAGATGCACAATTTAATTGTCTCAAATTGTAATACCATCTCTTCAAGTTTTCGTAGAAAATGCATTTTCTTGTAATTTAGACCTCGTTTATCACTATACCCATGGAATATTGACATTTTAGATTATTTTTAAAGATGTAACAAATTTTTAAAGAGTACAGATACGAATATTGTCAAAGTTTTTTTTTATTTTTTAATGAAATAAACAAACTATTATTTGATCAATGGAGGTCTAAATTATAAGAAAATGCATTTTCTAAAACAAAAATCAGTAAAAAATGGTATAATACAATTTGATAGACAGTTAAATTGTGCATCTCATCATCTCTGCTGATATTCATTAAATTAAACAAGTTATCTCGTAAAGCTAGAAATTATTTAAAATAAATTTTTAGACACTCTGTATATAGGTAGTATAATTTTTATTATTGCAACACAATATCTGATCAATAAATAATCTTCAGTAAATACTTAGTCTTAAATACTTTGATACCCTACTTTGAAATAAAGCTTTAAATTTTTTACTGCAATTTCACAAAATTGAAAATATTTCAAAAACGGTAAGGTTTAAGTGTGATAAACCTTAATCAAATTTACCTTTATTTCAATCGTAGAATTTAAAAATATAATATTATACAGGGTGTTCCATTTAAAAAAATACAACTATAATATTTTTTACTTATTTGGGACACTTAAATTGTAGCTGTAATAGTCCTTCATCAACGAACCCAAAACTTACAATTTGCAAAAATCTAATCGTTTAGCCACAATACTCCGTGTCGTACGTGAACAACCCTGTAGATCTAAAAATTGTCAAAACGTATATACTTACGGTATATCTTGTTGAACTTGAGTTGGTGCCAGTCTTTCTGCCACATTTTCCACAGATCTGTTTCCCTGATAACTGTGAGCAGTTTGCTGACTGCTTTGCTGTTTCTGAATGTTAGACAGAGCCGGGTTATTGGCACCGGGTTGTTGCTGACCGCTGCTCGGCACTTGGGAGGCTGTAAAAATAAAATAAATAAAACGAAAATACACAAAATCATATTTACTCCTTAGTAACTGAGACGGCGAGAAATCGCTGACTGAACTGTCGTCCTGGTATAGTTCAGTTCAGGACAGCAGGCCATATTGTTGTTGCAACGCTCTGGAAAAAGTTAACTTGAGGGCCCAGTGTATCCTACAAAAAATATTATTAACATTTTGTTACTTTATATAGTTTTTGTTTTCAAAGCTACTACATGTTTGTGAACTTGGACCCAGTATCCAACTTGGGCTGATGCTGTTGGATTGTTACAGCCGATGGTTATGTTTAACGGGTAAAGCTTCTCTACTGTTATACACGGTGTAGCGGCAGGGGTTTGTTTGTGACGTAGAATAAAGCTATGTTCCTCAAGTTAGTTGCGGCAGTGTCAGCAGGAACCTTTAACGAAAAACACACAAATATTTCCCTAACAAAAAAACAATTTGTCCTTATTATGCTGGTTAAAAAGATGGGTCCTAGTTACGTATGATCTAAGGTATAATTTATTTTTCACTCACTGTGTGCAGAAGGCAACTGCTGTTGCTGAATCTGATCTGTTGCTGTTGCACCGGGCCGGTTTGTATAGGAGGCGAAGGAGTGGACAGCGAAGATTCCGACTGCTTCGGATACATGGGCATAGAATTTGCTGTTGCTGACGGTTTTGTTGCTGCAGCAGTTGCTGATTCTTCTGCTGCATCTGCTGGTTCTGTTGTTGCTGCTGCTGCTGTTGGTGCATCAGCTGGTGCTGATTTGTTACTGCCTGCCGCAACAGGGCTTGTTTCTGATGCTGCATGTGTTGTTGATGCTGTAGCCAGTTGGGTTTTGTTGTAACAGTCCCTGAACGTCGATTTGCTGTTTCGGTTCTGGATCGTTGCTCGGATTCGGATGAATCGATAACTAATAAAACGTGTTTTTATAGAAACTGTATATGCAGGAAAGTAAATTAAAGTACCTGCTGACCAAGCTGCATGTTTCTATTGACCATTTCGTTGGGTACCGTTCCAAACTGTCCCAGATCGTTTTCGACGAAAGCTCGTTTTTTGACAGGAAATATTGCCTGATTATTACCGTTTTGTTGTCCTTTATTTTCGTTTACAGGCATCTCCTCTTGCTGGGCGTGGTAAGATTCCACGCTGGCTGGATTAACAGGGGAATTAACCTAGAAAAAAATGTTTGTTCGAAATTGACAAGATAATAAATGAAAAAAAATGCGAAAATACCTGAGCATGGAGCGGCGAATTCACGTTCATGTTGGGCGAGTGTTGCGGCACGCCTGGCGAATTGACTTGCGGCGAGTGCGCGCTCATCTGAGGCGAATGCACGCTCATTTGGGGCGAGGTAACGCCCAGTCCGGGTGAGTGAAGCGCCGCGTTGGGTGATTGCAATTGGGGTGAGTTCACGGTAGGGCTGTGCTGCGAATGCACGCTCGGCGAGTGAATCCCCGGCGACAGCTGCGAAATTACAATGGGCGAATGCGGCGAGTGCTGCGGCTGATTAGCCGGTGACGGTTGGCTACTCGCTGGCGAGTTGGCAGTGTAGTTCTGGGATGGTTTACTCTGGAAAATTAAAATGTCAATTCTGCATAAAAGTCTCTGCGTCCTATTTATCAAACACAACATAAATTATTTGAGAAACTTAGAAAATTAAGAGGAAAAGTAAGAAAATTCGTAAAAATGTATGTCCTAAAATGCTTAGTTTCGGAGATACAGGGTGTAGAAGTCATTTCAGTAATTTTTTTTCGATTTTTTTTCAAATACTGAAACGTCGATATTTAGCGTAAAGTCCTAACGCTTTAAGCACGCGGCCACAGGGGACTTGAAGATTCTATGTAAAATTCTTACTTAAAAGATAATCTTTAGTGAAAGTTCTTTTTATTTATAAACATACATTATCTGTAAAAATTTCAACTGTCTAGCTATAACGGTTCATAAGATAGACTTTTGTGACAGAGGGACGGACGGACGGATGGACAGTGAAGTCTTAGTAATAGGGTTCCCGTTTTTACCCTTTGGGTACGGAACCCTAAAAAAGACCTAAGTAAA